TACTAACAGATGCTATAGAGCAAGAGTTTGCTTATATAATGAATAAAGTTATTAGCAAAGAGTAGGGAAAGTTCCCTAAAAGCTCCAACAGTGGAAATGCAACAGCATGATTTAATAAAGCCTCCGAAGAGAACCTAAACAAGTTTTACTAACACTGTTTACTGGCCATTTATCCTCTACACGTAAAGTTGGGGGAAGGCCGGGCATTGCTTGACTTATGTATTATATATTTATTAAATTTGTTCCTAAATCAACACTTTGTTTATTGTATTGGACCAGAGAAACAAATTACATGATTAAAAAGAAGAATCTGTGTAAGAACAGCTAAAGCCTAATTTAGAAGCCCCTGAAATATGGCAGTATATACCAGCTTAAAAGTTGACTCCAATTTCAAAGCATAGAAAAAAATTTCCACCTTTATTGAGGTATAATTGACAAATAAAAATTGTATATATTTAAGGTGTACAATCATTTCACAATTTTTACCTATACCAAAGCATAGGAAACATTTTATCCATCTTTTGGTGTCTTAAATTTATCATTACTACACTGATTGAATGACAATATTTCCCTGAATGTAATCAGAGTTTATTTTTTATTGAATCTATTTTCATCTAACACAATTTGCTTTAGATGTTTTTCTGTACATGAAAAACATAGTAAAATGGTGTCTACTTCTAAGGTCAAAGGCTTGTCTTTCCTCATTAAAGAAAGTGCATATGAATTTTCAGGTAGATAAACAATCTCGCACTTTTAGCTCACATTTTCTTTGGGCAAATTGACTAATGTTTAAGTAAATTATACCCACAAGCTTTAAAATAATGGCCATAAAACTCAAATTTCTACTGGAACCAAGGAGGTAACATAAATTCACTTGGAGGGTCAGGTGTAAGATCAGAGTAAATTATGGCACCTGTAGGAAACAGAAGAATGCATATTCTGTCTATGGGTAAACATTGCTTCTCTACTTCATTTAGTTGTGCTGAGCCAGTAAGTATGTGGGACCTGTGTTTTCAGATATTCTTGATTTTAGAAATTCAGATTTTATGTAAAATTTTCAGATTTTCAAAGTTCTAGGCAGATCAAACTATATTTGGCAGGCCTGATTTGTCAGTTTGTAGCCTCTGTGTTAAAAGATCACATCACAAGGTATTTAAATGTTGGATTATACCTGGTGGGTGTGGCTCAGTGGTTGAGCATCAACCAATGAACCTGGAGGTCATAGTTCAATTCTTGGTCAGGACATATGCCTGGGTTTCTGACTCAATCCTCTATAGGGGGCGTGTAGGAGGCAGCCAGTTGATTCTCTCTCATCATTGATGTTTCTATCTCTCCCTCTCCTTTCCTTTCTCTGAAATCAGTAAAACATTTTAAAAAAAATGTTGGATCACTGTGTTGTACACCTGAAACTAATGTACTATTTTATGCTTACTATATTTTTTAAATGTTCTGTTTTAAGTAATTTCCCCTGAATGAAGAATTAATGAAAGTAGCACTTTATTTAGTTACCTTCATTCCAGAGGTAAGACTTACTATGTGATATTTGATAGTGAATTTTTAATTTATCTTCAAAAGGACTAAAATATTTACAGTGAGGTTCTACCTCACACCAGTCAGAATGGCTATCATCAGTAAACCAACAAACAACAAACGGTGACAAGGATGTGGAGAAAAACGAACCCTCATACACTGTTGGTGGGAATGAAGGCTGGTACAACCACTATGGAAAACAGTCTAGAGTTTCCTCAAAAAATTAAAAATGGAACTACCATTTGATCCAGCGATTCTACTTCTGGGAATATATCCTAAGAAGCCTGAAACAGCCAACCAGAAAAAATATGTGCACCCCTATGTTCATAGCAGCTCTATTTACAATAACCAAGATCTGGAAATAGCCCAAGTGCCCATTAGTAGATAAGTGGATAAAAAAGCTGTGGGACATTTACACCATGGAATACTATGCAGCTATAAAAAAGAAAGATCTCTTACCTGTTGGGACAGTTTGGATGGATCTGGAGAATATTATGCTAAGTGAAATAAGCCAGTCAGAAAGACAAACATCACATTATCTCACTTAAATGTGAAATCTAATGAACAAAATAAACTGACAAAGAAACTGAGGGTTCTCAGAAGGAAGGGGGGCAGGTGGGAAGAGATCAACCAAAGAACTTATATACATATATGCATAACCCATGGACACAGATGGTGAAGGCCTAGGGTGGTGGGGGTCAATGGGGTAAAAGGGAGGACATCTGTATTACTTTCAACAATAAAGATAAATTTAAATTAAAAAAACACAAACTTAAATCCAATGAGTTTGTGAGTTTTTAACTGGACTCCTTACTCTGTAATATTTTGTTTCATCTTTTTATGTGGCCTGTATGTTGTTTCTCTAATGTTAAATGAGATTTTATGTTCTAAGTTTCAGTTTCAAATGTAAAAATTCCATATCTCTGATTCTTCTGCTAGACTTACTCTATTTATCCATGGTACAGAGTAAACACGATCTTCACAAATTCAAAATATAGCCTGCTCTGGCTGAGTTACTCAGCCAGAGCAGAATCACCTTCCAAGCATACCTTGTATGTTAGTGGAGAGTCTGCCTCTAATAAGGATAACCAATGTCTTAATGCAGTGCAGCAATGATGATTATTGGAGCTGGTGAGCTGAGTAGAGACCCTAACTACTTACCACAATTTGTTGTAGGACCTCTGTTGGTGATAGATTTATTGGTTGTCATGGTATTTTGAGTACAGTATCCGACCCACTGTTCTTGAATATGTATAACCCTTTTTGTCAGTGACTTTGTAAGAATGTGGTTATATGTATATTTCAGCCAAAAAAATAATTTCAGGCCCTTTGTACATCACTTTAATTTCATATCCAGACTTAGAAGTGGGGAGAGGCAGCAAAATGTAACTTCAGGACACAAAGAGGAATTCAAGGGGGTATGAAACATTCTATGCCAACTCCAGGACACTCAGATGAGAACTGTTCTATACTGAGCTGACAACATTTGTAGCATCTGCTTGTTCAGTAAAATTCTCCAAACTTGATTATTTGGCAAAATGTAAAGAAATCTAAAATAAATTAGTTGACATCACAGAAGGAACAAATTCAGAAGTGTAGAAGTCACATTTTATTTTGATCGTCAAAAATAAACTATGTGTGTTTAACATGTACTCCCATGGTAGAATTATAGAGTTATAAACAGTATTATAAAATACATTATTACATTTGACAAAACAAATGGAAAATTTTCAAAAGTCAAGGCAAACTCCTAAGAAAGTTTTAGATCCTTAATAAAAGAACAGTTAACTCATGGACACATATATTTATTGGGTAATACTAGCAAGAATGTTTCAATATTTGGTAATTTTAAAGTCCTAAAGTTAAATAATCTATGAAGTTTAGATCATAGAAGATTTAACTGGATTTTATTTGTTTGAATTTAGTATAATTAAACTTTAAATGGATTGATTTTTGAGTTTTAGATTTGGGATATTGAAAGTATATATTGTGTGTGTATGTGTGTGTGTATATATATATATATTATATATATATATATAATATATATATATATAGTGACAGCTAAAAAAGTTCTGTTGTGTTTAGAAAGTTTTAAAAGTAAAAAGAGAGAGGGATCTATGGTAAAGGGAAAAAAGTCTGGTGATATATAGCCCACTGGATTAAGAAAGCATGGACAAACATTGACTTGGTGTATATGAGTATATTCTACTTTAAGAAAGTGTTATTTCAAGTCAGAGTGGGCGAGTAAACTATAAAGCAAAATCAAATAGTTCTGTCAGTTAAGTGACAGAACACAAAAGTAGGTGAAATAAAGACTCGCTTTCTCTCACTCCCACCTTCTCTCCCCAACAGCCCTAAATACATGTTTGTATTTGTGGTTTATTTAGTAATCTTTCTACAGACCTTTAAGCAGGGAAGCAGTTGCCTTTCAAAAACAAACAATCGAACAAACAAAAAACCTGAAAGGAGACTTTTAACAAAAAGACTATTAGAAGAAAAGATTATAAAGGGGCAATGAACCAGCCATATATACTTGTACTGGGCATTATAAGGAGGTTCCTGTTTCTGTACTAATAACTGCACTAAGGCACAAAAAAGCCAAGTTACAATCCTTATAGTGTTTTTTAGCATGGCATTTTAGATTTCATTGTTCTTCTTCATTAAAGGGCTTGAGAATGCTGGGAAATATATTGCTGGAAAGAATGGTTGTTTTGTTAACAAAGCTAATTATGTTTTTAAAACTGATTTCTTTTGTATGTGCTTAACTTATTTTGTATGGCTGTGTGTATGGCTGTATGTTTGTACTTGTGTGTGTGTGTGCATGTGCACGTGTGCATGTATAACCCTTTGGGGGGAGATATAAGATAGTTCAGCATCTCCACAGAAATAAATATAGAGTGAACTGAGTGATTAATGGCTCTATGTTTAGGAAATTAAGGCATAACAATCATATTGGCTTACTTTCATCATCCTGTTGGTCAAATAAAAAAGGTGAAAAAACTGGAAGGGGATTTTTTTCTAAAAAGTATAAGAATACCCAATGGGATGGGAAGAAGGCTCTTGAGAGAAAGGGAAAAGACACAATATTGCTGAAGCCTTTTTGGAATTGTTACGACCCGAGGCCATTTTCTTCAACAGAAATCTAACTTTATTTCCTTGCCTTCATATATAGAAAAGCCTTAAACCATATCACATTTCACATTATTCTTTACTCAATGGGGATTAGACCAGAAATGTAATAACATTATCCATATATTTAAAATACTATCTAATAGTAATTCAGGCTTTCCTACTTTCTTTGTGCTCTTCCCTGCAGCTGTTTCATTGTGTGTAACCTATCTAAAATTTCTGCAGAATTTAAGAAGATTTTTGTGTGAAATATAATAAAGCCTTGATTAATTGGAATCTAACTAACAAGAACTCTCAATTAACCAGTTTTATTTATTTATTTTTTGCTACACTCTCCTTTTAGAAGGAAGAGGCAAATGACAAGAAAACAAGCTGTTAACAGGTATTTATGTATTTATTTTTTAAAAATCAACTTCCTGGGAATGTCCTGGAGCCTGTACAGATTCAGCCCAACTTCAATAATTTTGTTACCTGTACTATATTTACTAAGGTAGGAAAGTAGAGGCATTTAAAAATTTCAGCAGCAAATTTGAATCTTGCTAAATCATTAAGTAATAATAAAATAAGAAATCCTAATAGCTAATTAGAACCGGTCTACCCATTTGAGGGTTCTAGTTAATTGGGGTCCACATGATTTCACTATTGCCAGTTTGTGACCATTTATATCTATTAATGGTAGTAGATCTCAGAGCCATGCAGTGGAGAGATGACTTCCAGCCACAAAGAGCAACTCCTTCCCTGAGAATTAAAGCAGAAGTTAGAGAAAGGCTGCAAAGTTAATGGGGGTTGAGTGAGGGTCACTGACATAAAAACATTGACACCTATGTAAAATAATGGGAAAGTAATTCACCTGCCCTGCCCCATGACTCTGAAATGCTTAGGAAGGTACATTCACTTTTGCAGGACAGCACAGGCTATTAAGTGTGCTACAGCAATAATTTTGGGGAAAAACCCACAGTTCTAATCTTTTGGGGTTGTTCTAAGCATTAGGCATAAGTATATTTTGAATGCATGCTAGTAGTTCTAAAATATTTGGAATTTTTGTTCTTGTGAAAATATATTCTTTAAACATTTGGAAACCTAAGAAGATTTAAATTTAAAGCTTCCTAAAATATCTATAACAATTTCACTTAAATTACAATCAGAGATACCATATTGCTTCAGGCCTTATACCTTTTAGATTGTATGGGGAAAACTGTACAGTTACTCAGAGAAGCAAAAGAGAAGAAGAGCAACCAATGATACTAAAGTAGGTTTTGATATTGCCTGCATTAGTGCTTTCTCTTCTCTTCCATACAACCTTCTAAGATTAAACCACCCTTTGTTGACTTTACCCCTTCTTTCTGGGCTGTGGGGGAGTTTGGGACCACTCTAAATGATTTATCCAGGGTTTCAACATAGAAAATGAAATCACTATGGCGGTGTTTCTAATATCTGGGATATATTCTATATTAAATATTACTCTTAAGTATCATGCACACTAAATAATACCCAATGACCTGAAGTAGTGGATGTGCCTCCTTAAGTGCCAAACTTTTTTGTTAGACTGTGACTTTATTGCTGAAGAGACTAAAACCCACTAGATTTCATTAATGAATGATTTTTAACTAAAAAACTTTAAGTGGATTGAGTTTTGAGTTTTAGATTTGGGATATTGAAAGTAAATATTTTTTATTTTATATGAATGAAATTGTATTCAGGCATTGAAATTGACTTACATTTTTATTTTCTGAATGAAATACCATGCAAATTAATGTCAAGCTTTCACTTTTAATTAAGCACAATAGTTTAAAATTGTATGTATTTATTTCTAGATTAATCATAACACATTACATATGTACATGTATATGTAATGAGTTTTTACATTTACTGTCATCTGAGGAAAACCATGAAATGTTTTTGAAAGTATATATACCTATTAATTCCCAGAAACTACAGAAAAACAGGAGCGTCACAAACTCTAATGCCTACTGAAGCAAGGCTCATAAGGTAAAACAAAGAACATAAGCAATAGGGAGTGGCAGGGACTCTGCTGACTTAGAGAGTACATATTCTTTCCAAAGGTGGCAGCTATTACTAAGCTCAGCTGATTGCTACCATGTGGGAATGCAGTCCCAGTGTTGTTAATATCTGACTTTTTAAGAGAAGTCAGGAAACCAGATTTTTATGTGAAATTCACCTAATTCTTAACTGTTGGTAACTAATTCAATAAAAAGCAAAAGCAAAAAAAAAGCAACATTATGCAGCCAAAACAAAACCCATCTGTGGTCTGGATCTATCCCATAGACTGTCAGTTTGTTACCTCTGCTTTAAGTTGTAAATCCTCTAGATAGGGCAATTAAAAAAAAAAAATCACAGTATGTTAGAAATGCACTTGAAGATCTTAGTGACAGAAAATTAATGTAAAGTAAATAAATTATAACTGGAGTGCTTGTAAATAATTCTCCTGGTACTCAAAATAGAGATTATGCAGTTTGTGATTTTTTTCTTACTACATGAAAATAGCCAAGATAGTTTTCTCTTAACGTGGTCTGAAAATTAAGACAAAATCATGAATTTTTGGCTTTCATATTTATCAATGAAAAACACAGTATGAAAAATCATTACTTCCATGTCCAAAAGAGAACATTTAAGTATAGTTTCCATAACATAACATAATTAAGGCTTCTATTTAAAGACCAGTTAATGGTGCTTTAATAGGAAGAAAGTCATGTATATAGCATGTATTGTTTTATTTTAAATTGGCTTACCTTTAAACATGTTTCCAATTTTATCTAGTGAAATCCCTTTATTTTTACAAATGGTTAAAATAAGAAATAAGAAAAATGTAACTAGTTAACACAACAAAACTTCATTTGAACTTTTGATAGGCATTGTCAAAGATAAAACAAAATTTGGTCATCTGAGATTTTATTAAAAGGTAAATTTTTGACTGATCTGAGACTTTGCTTGTTTGTCTGTCCTGCCCTAGACCTTAGCACATAATCCCACTGTGCTACAATGCTTTTGACATCTGTGTGCCCCTTTCATCACCGGCAATCCAAAAGCATATTTGTCTAGAAAGGAAACAATTAAATTCCAATCTCTCTAGGAAAAAAAGAAAGAAAAGAAAAACACCCCACTGCTAAACGTGCTTTAACGATCTGTATGATCTGCACCATAAATCTTTAGTCAGAATGGTAAGTTAACACTGTCAATTCTGATGAGAAACTTATCAAAGACTTTTAAAAAAGAGAAAAGTGAAAAAGAAAGAATGCACAATCTCAAATCCTAAATTAACTAAAAAAATGCCCACCCGCAAATCCTAAATTAACTAAAAAAATGCCCACCCACATTTGTTTTTATTTTATTTTATTTTTTACATCACCATTTATCCCCTCTATGCCCTTTTCCATCTCCACCAGCCATTCTCATTAATCTAGTTACAGATTTAACACAGCCACATATGAAAGATGAGAAATTGTTGGACAACTGGTCAACACATCTGACAATGTGCAAAACAGTTGATATTTACTTGAATAAAATTTGCATAGACAGTGTTGCCTTGTGTAGATCATCAGATAGTTCTGACCACAAGTAATCTGTTGTATGATAGAGATGAGCTATATTTAAATGTACCAATAAATTAACTGTTCCCTAAAAACTCTAACAAATGGAGATTCTTAGTTAATTGGTTAATACTCAAAGGAGGGAATGTAAAAAATGTGTGATTATTTGATGCATTTGACCAGTGTACATATATAAATAAGGTGGTTCAGGATAAATTTTGATGAATAGTTAATACTATTTTTGTCAGAACATTATAATAGCTAACATTTTTCAAACATGATATCCCAGGTGATTTTACATGTATTCGTTCATTTAATCATCATAACAACCCTACAAGGTAGGTGTTGTTATTGTGATCCTTGTTTTACAGATGATGATACTGAGACACAGAGAAAGGTTAAGTGACTTATCTATGGCCATACAGCCTATAGATATCAGAGCCAGCATTTGAATCAAGGCAGTCTGATTTCAAAGCTCATATACTTTAGATCATTATATTTTTATAATCTGACAACTGGAATCAAACATCTTATTTAATTTTATATATATATTTGTGACTTTTGAAAAATGCAATTTTTATTCTGAAATCAATTTGGTAACATCATTTCTATTATGTAATAAATTAGCAGGATTAATTATAATGTAGTTCAAGCAGATAGAGCAGAAAATAATGAGAGACAGCTGTGGACCAATAACCAGGTCTGTGTTTTGCTACATTTGATTCATGGCTCAATTTAAAAAAGAAAAGATGTATCTGTAAAGCATTAATGATATGAGTAATACTAATCTCCTTTCTACTCACCCTCCACTAGAGGTAAGAACTATCTTAAAATTGGTGTGTATCATTGCTGTGTGTTTTTTATTATACATGTAAATATGCAGTATTAATTTTTGTGTGTGTAAAAGTGTAGCTAAATGCTTTGAAACTATAATATCTTTTTGTAATTATTTTCACATTACCTTTTGGAGATTTATCTAGGTTGATACATGTAGATGTAGTTCATTGAATTTTTAATTGTCTACTGTCTTATTTCAATGTATGAGTACAGAGTTTGGTAATTGTTTACTATATTGATTGACGTTTAGGTTGTTTTTAATTTTTTTTTTTTGTAAACAGTGCTGTAATAGACATCATGTTTTCTTGTGCCCATGTGGAAGAGCTTCTCTGGGGTATAAGCATAGAAGTGAAATTGTCAAGTTGTGGGCTATGCACATCTTCAACTTTCGTAGTTATTGCCAAATTGCTTTCTAAATCTCTTCTGATTTATACTCCTACAAGCATTATACAAGAGCTCCAATTTCTCCTCATTCTTGCTAGTGTAGTAGTTATTTTGAACAAATAATTCCTTTGAATAAAAATATAATTCTTTTTATTGATTCTCTTTTGTGATTATACATTCAGTTGAAAGATTGTTTCTCATCACTTAATGCATATAACAATGTTTACTGATACTATTTGTGTCATCATTCTTCATTTTAAAACATATATAATTTAAATAAGCAAAAGGATACTGCTTAAAATTTATATTTTCTAGGTTATAAGGCACTTTCCCATAATGCCTTATTTGATATGAGATACTGGGTCAGGAAGAGCTCTGGAAAAAATTCAGAGGTCCATAACTTTAAAAAGCCCTGCAAATAACTCTGTGGGTTGGGACCTTGCTTGCTTCTTCTGTAAAATTAGGATTTTGGACTAAGCAATCTCTTAGAGGCATGCTATAACCTTTGATCTATGATACATATTTTCACTTTACCTTGAATCTGTAATTTACGTATTGTGCATAAAACATAAAGACAAACTTGAATTTTATCAATTTGTAAAATCTGTTGTAA